GTCTCTCTCATCCTGCTCTCTCTCCTCTATTCTTCCCCCAACTCAATGTTTCTGCCCCTCCATTTCCTCTCCTCCTCTTCTCTTGCTCTTATTGTAGCAGCTCCTTCCCCCCCCCCTCATGCCCCCAATTAGTTCGGGAGTTCATGCCACTTCCATTCCTGGGGACCGTTTATCCCTTAGAGTCCTTCATGTTTCCTAGTTTCTTTGGTGAAGAGCATTATATACTGGTAATCCTTTGCTCTATGTCTAAAATTCATATATGAGTGAGTACATACCATGTTTGTCTTTTTGTTACTGGGTTACCTCACTCAGGATGGTTTCCTCTAGTTCCATCCATTTGCCTGCGATTTTCAAGATTCCATTGCTTTTTTCTCAGCCCCAGTTTTTTTTTTTTTTTAATTTATTTTTGAGACAGTGTCTCACCACAGCCCAAGCTGGTCTCCAACTCACTGTGCTTAAGGTTTTCCTACTTCAGCTTCCAGAGTACTCGGATTACAGCTGTGTACCATGGTGCCTGGCTCACACATGCTCTCTCCCTCGTTTATCTGTATTGCAGCCATTAACATTTTGAAGCAGTTAAGAAAATCTAAACTATTACTAAAAACTTGGGTGGTAAAAATAAATCTAATGTATTCCTCCTCTCTTCTACATTCCTGCATTTCCTTCCTTTCTCAAAAAAAAAAAAAAAAATTCTACAGCCAGTTTGTGTGCTGGGCTTCTATTGAATAGCATCAAGATGAAATCCATCTCCCGCTGAGGATGTAGCTCAGTTGGAGGAGAGCCCACCTAGCATGCATGAAGCCCTGGATGGGAGCCTCAGCACTTTTGTAAAAGAGATAAGGTAGTAAACACTGTAGTACCTGGCACAGGGAAGGTGAAGGTGGGAATGCAGAAGTTCAAGGTCATCCTCAGCTACATAGTAACTTTGAGGCCAACCTAGATGATATGGAACCATGTCTCAAAAGGAAAAGGTCACCTGGACCAATGGGTCAAGAGTTGAGACTGCTCTTGCAAAGGACCTGAGTTTCCTTCCCAGCACCCACATCTGGTAGCTCACTGCCACCTGTAACTCCAGCGCTAGGGTATCCAATGTCTCTTTTGGCCTCTTAGTGCAACAAACCTATTTTGAAAACAATTTAAATTTTCATTTTTATTTATTAAAATTAAAAGATTTTTTTTTAGTTCCATTTATGTGTACAAGTGTGTATGTCACCCAAAGAGGCTGGAAGAACTCTGGAGCTTGACAAGCTGCTGTGAGCCACCCTACATGGATTCTATGAACCAAACTTAGGTCCTTTAGAGTAGCAACAAGTTCCCAACCACTGAGCCATTTCTCTGACCCTCTCAATTTTCAATTTTAGTTAATAGAATTTTGGGGAATCTGAAGTTGTAATTCCTACCACCTTTACCTCCTAAGTGCTTTGATTACATTCAACACCACCGTGTCCAATTTCATGTGGTGTTGGTGCTTGAACCCGGGTTTCTTGTATGCTAGGCAAGCATTATACCAACGGAACCACATCCCCAACCCATTTAGTTTTTATTGATTGTTTTGAGATGGAGTCTATGTTCCCCAGGCTGGCTGGGACTCCTGGGCTCAAGTGATCCTTTTGTCTCAGCCTTGGACACAACTGGAGCTTTAGGCATGTGCCATTGAGCTTTACATGGGAATAGTCATTTTTAACAGGAACACTGTTTTGTCCTTAGAGCCGATTGTTAGGTCTGAGGCGGGCCTTTTTCTGACTTGACTCCCTCCAAATTGGGAATGCATGACAGACCAAAGAAAGCCTACTCAAGCATAGCTTGGTGAACCGCTGACTTTTTACTGGGTTATTTGCAGGACTAGGGATGACCCAGAGGCAGCTGTATCACTGGGAGAAACACACCAGCATGGGTCAAAGATGCCAGAAAGCTGAAGCCTGGGAGCTCTCAGCAGGACTTGCAGGCAACAGGACATATACTGTGTGGGTCAGAGCCTTTCCCTCTGTTTGGTTGTGAGTGTTGCATTATCCTTTGTGGGAGGAGCCCAGGGGAAGCTAGTTCAGTTCCAGTTTTCCCAGACCTGTGGTTTCTTTACTTCCTGAGTCTTGAGAGCCTCCTTCCTCCTCCCTGGAGAGAGGAAATTGCTACGTAATAAGAGGATTATATCTACACTCTCAGGCCATGCGACATCTCCATGTGATTCCGTACACTAAGTTCCCCATGTTCTTTGTTGTTGTTTGGTTTTTAATTTTTGTTTTATGCGTCTGAGTGTTTTGTCTGCATGTGTATTTGTGCACCATGTACATGCCTGGTCCACCTGGAGACCAGAAGAAAGTACTGGATTCCCTGCAACTGGGTGTGCAGATGAGAGCTGCTCTGTGGATGCTGGGAAAACAAATTTGGGTCCTTTGAAAAAGCAGCCAGTGCTTTTTTTCCCATTTAAATTTTTTTATTTCATTTTACATTCCAATCACAGTTCTCACTCCCACCCCTCCTCTCACCCCTCCTCACCCCCACACTTCCTCCTACCTCATAGCCCACGTCCAGTCCACTTCTCCTCACAGAGAAGGGCTCCCACGAGGAGTCAACATGGTCTGCGGTCAGCACTCTTAATAGCCAAGTGATCTTTCCAACCCCCCTTGTTTGTTTTTATTTTTATTTCGCATTGTTTTTGAAACAGGGTTTCACTGTGTTCCTCTAGTTAGCCTGAACTTCATTTTATAGACCAGATAGGCT